GCTGCTCGCCCGGCCAAGAGGGAAGAGGCTGCCTCCCCGCCAGACGCCTCGATGTGTCGCAGAACCGAGAGCCCGTGGGTGGGAGGGGAAAGGGTGGCGAAGAAGCGCACACGTCCTTGAGCCATGGCCATCAAAGCCCCCGTTGTTCATTTTTCATTTCGAATTGCATTTCCTTTCTACCCAGTAGGAAATTATTCTGATTGTTTCCTGGGGAAGCTCGGGGTCCAAGGCCCCAACTACCGAAGAGGAATGAGTTGACGGGGTGGCGGGGCAAAGGGGCATTCAAGAACCGCCTTGCTCAAAAGAAGACGAAAAACACCGAAATAAAATTAAAAGCAAACCAAATCGCAACCCTGCAAATGTAAGGTGGATGGCTTTTTTTTGTTTGCTTTATTGCCTGCGAAAGGGGATGGAGGTATCTTTTTTCTGTGCTACCCACTTTCACTCGCCTGAATGTATACCGTCTGAGCGGGAAATCACTCATAGATATTTTGGTAACTCAAGCTCTTGCACACGTTCCCCCCATTTCTTTTAACCACTGCTAATACAATTTTGTCCTGCTCGGCTACATATTTCAAATGAACTCATTACAATCAAAGCAACTATATTACACATAAAAAAAGAGAATGAAGAACAAATACCCTAGCCCCGAAAGAACAGACTAGACCAAAACCAAAGCGAAAAAAATGCTCTCTAAAGCAAAGCCCAGAGGGAGAGTAGCAAAGGGTTAAAATCCTTTTGATTGACGTTGTAGCCTCCGGTGCCCCGGGCTCAGGCGCGCGCCATTGGCCGCCAGACCTTGTGCCTGGCGGCCAATGGGGGGGCGCGGTCCACGAGCGCTGCCGCGTGTCTCCTCCTCCTATTGGCTGAAAGTTACTGTGGGAAAGAAAGTTTGGGAAGTTTCACACGAGCCGTTCGCGTGCAGTCCCAGATATATATAGAGGCCGCCAGAGCCTGGGGATCACACAGGATCCGGAGCTGGTGCTGATAACAGCGGAATCCCCTGTCTACCTCTCTCCTTGGTCCTGGAATAGAGAGCTACCGATCACCAAGTAGCCGTTAAAATATAATAAATCCTCAGCACTTGCTCAGTAGTTTTGTGAAAGACTTAAGTAAAAGAGACATAAGCAGAATTTTTTTTTTCTTGAAAGACTCCAAAAATAAAATTCTCTAGGGATTAAAAAAAAAAAAAAGAAAATGCCAGCTGATATAATGGAGAAAAATTCCTCCTCCCCTGTGGCTGCCACCCCAGCCAGTGTCAACACGACCCCGGATAAGCCAAAGACAGCATCTGAGCACAGAAAGGTAAGGGCACTACCTGTATCTTTCTGCAGCCCTAAGAAATTAAGTCGGGGTTGGGGGGAACTTTCTCTTAAAATCTTGGAACTTAGAGCCCTTTTTAATTCTTTTGCAGTCGTCAAAGCCTATCATGGAGAAAAGACGAAGAGCAAGAATAAATGAAAGTCTAAGCCAGCTAAAAACACTGATACTGGATGCTCTTAAGAAAGATGTAAGTGGGGAATGCTGCGTTTTCTTTTCGTTAAAATAAATGAAATACTGTTTCTCGGCCACTAAGAATGAAAGCCTCTCGCTGGTGGGCTCTTTCCCCCCCGCCGCCCCCCAGCTCGCAATGCGTTTTACTGGCTCAGAGGGCCGAGCCTCCCACGCCGGGGTCCTGGGACACCCGCGCTGCAGCCGGGGGTAGGGGGGAGTGCGGGGAGGGACCCCTAGCACTCAAGGCAGCTGACAGGAGTCTCACTTTCCTCCCTTGTCTCTTCTACGTGCAGAGCTCCAGGCACTCTAAGCTGGAGAAAGCGGACATTCTGGAAATGACAGTGAAGCACCTCCGGAACCTGCAGCGGGCGCAGATGACGGGTGAGGGCTGCTCGCCGCGTCCCCCTCTGCGGGCGTCCCCCTCGCCCTGCGTGATTTCTTCCAGACTTCCGCCCGTGGTTGTGAGAGGCATTCAGCTACATTTTACTGCCTTGGCTCACTCTTCGTGTTCCCACGGTCTGGGGCTTATTTATAGCCACAACTCCAAGTTGTTACTGTTCCGGAAAGGGAGGGAGGCTGTAGGCGCGAGGGTGGCGGGCGGCTTGGCTATTGGGGAAGCGGGTAGGGGAGAAAGGGCTTAACCGCGGCGGATTTGAGCTGCGTGGAGCCAGCAGGTCATCTGGTTTAGCACTCACCCCACCCGGTTACAGAGGGCAAATGAGGCTCGGATGGCATAGTGCGGGAGCATTGCCCAACGTCACATCGCGCGTGGGGTAGGGGTAGCTGAGATCGTTTTAATGGGGAGCGCTTCGGTCTGGGCTTCGGCCACCACGCTAGTGTGGAAGGAGGGCTGTTTTTCTCTAAACTCACCCCACCCTCCCAGCCGGAGGCAGTTCCGCGGGCGTGTGGTCTGGGAGGCGCGCCGCGGGGACCTCCCAGGGCGGGAGCCAGTGGCCCCGGGGCCAGGGCCGTTCAGTGACCCGTCTGTCTTCTCTGGCCTGCAGCCGCGCTGAGCACAGACCCAAGCGTGCTGGGGAAGTACCGCGCCGGCTTCAGCGAGTGCATGAACGAGGTGACCCGCTTCCTGTCCACGTGCGAGGGCGTTAACACCGAGGTGCGCACCCGGCTGCTCGGCCACCTGGCCAACTGCATGACCCAGATCAACGCCATGACCTACCCGGGGCAGCCGCACCCCGGGCGCGGCGCCCCCTCCCGGCGGCGCACCCTGCAAGCTGGGCAGCCAGGCTGGGGAGGCGGCTAAGGTGTTTGGCGGCTTCCAGGTGGTGCCTGCTCCTGACGGCCAGTTTGCCTTCCTCATCCCCAACGGGGCCTTCGCGCACAGCGGCCCGGTCATCCCGGTCTACACCAGCAACAGCGGGACCTCCGTGGGTCCCAATGCAGTGTCGCCTTCCAGCGGCCCCTCGCTCACGGCGGACTCCATGTGGAGGCCGTGGCGGAACTGAGGAGCCCAGGCCACCCCGACCCCCTTACTTCCCAACCCACTTCTCTTCCCTCCGGACAATGATCAGGAACTTGGACACTGGAAGAGAAGTGTGCTTTTGTGATTTTTTTTTTTTAATTTCTAAAAAGTTACTTTTTTTGTAGAAAGCTGAATTAAGTGACTGACCATGCACTATATTTGTATATGTTTTATATGTTCATATTGGATTGCGCCTTTGTATTATAAAGTTCAGATGACATTTCGTTTTTTACACGAGATTTCTTTTTTATGTGATGCCAAAGATGTTGAAAATGCTCTTAAAATATCTTCCTTTGGGGAAGTTTATTTGAGAAGATATAATAAAAGGAAAAAGAGTGAAGGTTTTTATGTCTTAGAACTGATTATTTCAGAATATGTAAAAAGGCTCTTGGTGGAATTTGAATTACCCCATAACCTGGGGATTCAGGAATGGGCTCTTTTGTTATTAAAACATTTTTAAAAATCTGTCAAACCTTTCACCAGCCCTCTGCCCCTTCCATTTAATCTAGTTGCAGCCGGTGATCATTCAGTCCTTGATCTGTTAGTTCCTGAGGCAGGTTGAAGGAGGCTGCTTCACCAAGTTAAGGGAACCCAATGCTATTCTCCACTGCACAGTAAACAGGCTCCTGGTCTACCTCCTTGGGGTGGCCCACCAACATCCAAAGGAAAACGCCCCTAAACATTGTGGCCCCCTGCCCATGAGTGTTGGGGGTCTCCATTAATTAGTAGTCCTTCCCAGCGGCTAGACATTCCCTAGCACCAGCGTCCAAAAGTTTGAAATGCCTCTCTGCACCCTCTTCAAGCTGAGCTGAAAAGGTCAACAGATTCCCTCTGCCTTGGGACAGCTAGTTAGACTCCCAAGTGGAGCCCGAGCCCAGATGATTAACACCAGACATGTGTTTCTGATAAGTGTCTGTGCTGGGCTCTAATAGAGAAAGCATGTGGGGGCCGTCCTGGCAGCCACACAGGCCACCTTCCCCTTTTAATACAAACAGCAAGCGACCCCTTCGCTTGGTCATGCCCCATTTCCAGGCAAGATGTGGGCTGCAGATAGAAGCACAAGGGCTGTCTCGGGTTTCAGCTCACATAACCCTCCTTAACAAGTCCTAACTCAAAGCGGACAGCTTTAAACTGTGCCAGGATCTGCAGGGAATTTCTTCCAAATCCCATCACAAAGGCTTGTCAGATTTTGTCAGATTTGGCCAGGTGTTTGACTGCATCCAGGTGTTGGGGAAATGAAAACCACGAGCCCTACGAGACCAGACACATCAGCCAGCCGCGCTGTGGGTCTGGCGGGCGGCCCCTCCTCCCGCACTGCCGGCCAGTCCTCTCCCCGCCCTGGCCCTCCAGCCCGCTTCCCCTCACCCCCCTTCTCGAAGAAGGGCTTCTGCGAGAAGGATGAGGCGGGAGAGATCAATCTTTGAAGCTTTCCTAACAAAGATAAAGCCAACGATTTTCTGTCTTGTTTCAAAAGCCGGCCCTCTCCCCCCTTCGCTCTGGCCTTTCCCAGAGGCCAGTGTGGAGAGGCCTTCTATCACAGGGATGATCTAGCAGACAGCAGTCCAGTTTTCTCTCAAATACCTTTGGACCCACTTTCGGGCCCCAGAGGGAGAAGTTTAAAAGATACTTTTTTGAATTTGGGTTCTACTTGCTTGATTTTGTGTGCATGAAAGGTGTCCAACACTCCCTCCGCCAAAGAAACACACACACACACCTTTGTCATACCATTTTTCCACGTTTTCCCTCTTGTTTAAACACAAACATGGTAACAATTGCTCCTTAAGACACCTTACCCAGGCTCAAATGCCTCCTGGGTAAGCCTGCCCTCCAATCTCACTAGGAATCTTTAATTGTCCGGGTAGGAACAAAAAAAATAAAGATATCTGGCCTCATTTTTTTTTTTTTTAAATAAAAGACTGGCCTGGTTTTTTTTTTTTTTAAATAAAAGTAATTCCTTCACATGGATGGTCATTAAAATTTACAGAAAATAAATGTGCAATCGCAACACCAACTGAAAGTTACATTTTACTTTCCCTATGTTGAAGGGGGACAACTAAAAATGCACATTATCATTAATGTCATCAAAAGCAGATAGGTATCTTCCTGGAGAGGAATAAACAGAAGAACGTTCCTTCTTTTGAAAATAACCGGTGATTTGAACGGATACATCTTTTCCTGATAGCTGGTGTAGACTAGTAGATATGGCATTTGTTTCTCCGCCAGAGGGGGGAGGGGTGGAGACCCTAAGCCCCAGAGGGGACTTTCCAGTTCTTGTAGCGCTCTGCCACTGAGCTCACCCTGTCATCTCGGGTAAGTCATTTCCCTTCTCCGGGACACTTCCAAGACCATAAAAACAGTGGATTTATTTGCAAAGACGTTGCACCCTCCTGCACCCCCGCTGTGGAGAGGCAAAGCTCGAAGCCCCTTCACTCCTGCCCCCTGGAGGACCCTCGGCTTGACCTAATTACGCAGCCTCGGGGCGCACCCAGTGGCCCCTTTCGGTCGCCCCGGGCGGCGCGGACCAGCCCGGAGCTCGGCGTCCGGAGGCGGGCCGCGGCCGCGCAAATTAGCCTCTCAATGGGGACCCTCGGAGGCCCCGGCCCCCCGCCGTCTCAGGCCGCATCCGGAGCGGGGAAAGTGGACGAACTGGAAGGGGGAGTTCCCCTCGGTCTGGACCCGAGGCCACTGCAAGCGGTGCGTCTGCGCGACTCGGAGGTTCGCCCGCCCCACCCGACGTGTTTCTGGAGTGGGGACCCGGGGGTCCGGCTGGACCCCCTCACCGTCCCCACCGTCCCGGGAAACCTGTCATTAAAGCTAATTACCTTTTCCCACACCCC